GCTGTCCACGACTGCTCTCATGGGCTGGTCCCATGAATGGAGACCACTGTCCACAGCATTAAAGCTCACTCCTCTCCCTTCATGACTTAAGCCTTCCTACCACAGGTTTTGTCAAGCCACTGCTCCCTCAGGTCCCCCTTGCCCCAGGTGACCTGCTGCAACACCACCAGCCCTATGTTGGCCCCTGGAGCTTCTGAGGGTGGGGAGAGGGTTATCTTCACCACATCCAGCGTCCTCCCTGGCACACCCATTCAGGTGGCAGAGTCATAACACCCAACCCCAATGTGGCAGCACAACATGACAAGCGTGCTGATCCCTTCACTGGTTTGAGTCAGTGTCCCTGAAGAGAAGTCAGCCCTTTAAGCCTGCTCATAATCTCAAAATGCCCCAATAGATGAAGTGAATTATGTGCTATGTATTAAAGTTATGCAAAAATCTTTCATTCATCCGAAGCATAACATGACTCACTGGAATATGATGATGATGAAGGACAATGATAATATTTACATAATTTCTACAATGTTATTTTTATAAGCCTTTGACATTTTCCACTGTGTTTAACAGTGAAATACATCCTTCTTCAAAACTGGTCTATTATCTTCTAAGACAAAAAGAAAATGTCAGGTGACGGTAGATCCATGCGGCAAGAGAGATTACAAGTAAGTCTCAAGTATTTTTTCCTTTTGCAAGGAAGAGCACGGCAGTAACAAAAGCGATCAGAAACTTGCCCTACAGAGTTCAAACCAACAGCATCATGATTGAAGTAGCTGATTAGGAAGTTTACATAAAGTACAGCAGCTGACTGGGCCATAAATTTGCAGGTAAAGGTCACCTAGCATACAGAATGAAAGAAACTAGAATAAGACATGCTATATTATGCAGTATATCTACATGTGTCAAAGCATCTGCTCAAAAACAATTTCTTTCAGAAAAGGTATTTTACTTTTTGTACTTCTACAGGGTATGCAATGGGAAGGACCAGGTTTAAAGATGGCTGATAGGCAGGTAGTTAAGCAGCTTTTTAGCACACCATTGCACATAAGCCGTTCTTCCCTGCAATACGGATAGAAAAAAGAACATAAAGGACTGTAAACAGGCATGAAAACTGGTCCATAGCTAAAAATATGCAAAACAGCAGCACAGTGCTGCTAGAAAAGACTTCTCAGAACTCTTAGAGGTTTGAGACACAGGAGTACCATTAAACAGGACAATAAAACAGAGGTATATGTTAAAAAGGGGTAAAAATTAAGAGTTCATCAACATGGTTTTGTTAAACAAATCTGAGAACTTTGATTTCCAGCCAGGCTGAGATAAGCTACCCCGTATGGCAGAAAGAAGGAGGAAAATTTCCACTTTTAGGCAGAGGAAATTCATTTGGATGTTATGTTTTGCTACCTCCTCAGTTGAGCTAATGGGACCGGTTTTGTGTGCATTGGAAGAAGGACGAGGAAGAGGTGCTGTAAACTGAATAGATGAAATTGCCTGGGTTTAAAACAAAACAAAACTAGGGAAAGTGAGGAGGAAGAAAATTGTTTGAAACCTAGTTCATTTCACTAATCAGAGCTTACAGAGCAGTCCTCAAAGAGTTGCATGGGCATAATTAGGGACGTGATGAAGGGTGTGGCAGAAACCTCTTAAACCAGTTTTGCCACTGAAGAAAACATTCATTAGGTTCATCGTCATACAGCACCAGTAAGGGCGATTTAAACTTCTGGCTGAGGTGATTTAGTATGGTACTATTCCAGCTCCCTTCAATAATAATATATCCCTCAAACCTCACTAGAATGAAAGTGCTAAAACCATATTTAAACAATTAAATTAACCATGAAGATTAGATCTTCTTCATAACAATTTCTCACCTAATCACGCAGAATAGAATTGTTTTGTTTGATCAATTTCTGGTGTCAAGGGACTTCCAAAAAAAAAGAAAAAAGATTCCAACATATTGATTTGCACATATCTACTAATGGTACATGGTTTCAATTCTTTCTGAGACTGTCCTTTGCTGCCACTAGTTATCAAAGTCAAAGATTGCTAACACCTCGGAATTAATGTCCTGCTAGCTAGGTTTGGAGTTGCCTTGGAAAGGACCAGGTTCATATAATCAGCTCACAAATGTCACCTGCTGCGCCAAAAGAGGCTGAAATAGCTTTGAACATAGTCAGTTTAGTAATAAGGTTGTATGAGTAATTTGACTGGCTGTCCACAACATCTGAACCCAAGAAAAAAGCCAATGGCATGGATATATATTGCCTTCTATGTTCAAAGCCAATTTCTACTAGAACAGCTGTACATCAGAACATCTATATCTTGCAAAGCATATAAAGTCTGCTTCTTGTGGAGGAAGGGATGTGGCAATATTTCACCTGCCCAAAGAAACCAAGCTAGAAACTGCATCCACAGACACTGGGGAAAGTAGACACTGACCAATGAAACTGTGGAAAATGTTTGTATAAGGACAAGGGATACTTGTACATGATTTATGTGAATGCATTGAGATAAACGGCTTGCTTTATGGTCTTGTATTTGGCATTGTTTAAACTGCCCAAGGATTTTTAACAGCACTGGCAAAACTCCGATGTTCAGCTCCTGTTCTGACTAATGTGATCTGGGTCAGCCCAAATAACCGGTGTGACAGTGGATATAGCTACATATTGATGTGCAACACAGCCACATTCAGAAAGCATGGCTACTGTTAATCAAAAGTAAATAAATGAATAAACAAACAACCCAAAATCTCATGCCTTGAGCAGAAGTAATTATTCCAATTTCCTACTGAGTATGTTCTTAGCCCTCTGAAAAGTTATCCCTTTTCCTGCAATAAACCCAATCCCAACTCCATGCCTTCTCTGGGACTCCCACATGAAGTGACAGCAAAAGCTCTTACTGATCTGGACCTATACACAAGGTGGCATTTCTGGTGGAAAATCACTGCTATAGAAATAAAGTAACAACTAACCATATAAAAATACATTTAAAACTAAACTAAAACTCATATGAAAGTGTTTCATATATCCCACAATAAATATAACTACTGTTTACATTCTTTTCAGTTATTGTACACTTAAGGTGCTATCAAGACAGAATAAAAATATTTCCTTGCCCTCAAAATGTACAACTTCAATATAAAATATAAGGCAACCAGTGAACACAATGGGAGAGATTAGAAAAGAATGAGATGACACTGGGCTGTGTGTGACACAACAGCATCCATATGCTACCTGCCTCATTACTACATAACCTACCCTTTCAGGTGTTTGTATACACGTATGAGCTCCCCCCAAACCTTCTCTTCTTCAGGCTCAACAGTCCCAGTCTCTCCCACCCCTCATAGAAGAGATACTCCAGTCCCTTCGTCATCTTAGTGGCCCTTCACTGGTCTCTCTCCAGTAGCTCCATTAACTTTTTTGTACTGGGGAGCCCAGACTGGACCCAGCACTCCAGGCGTGGCTTCGCCAGCACTGAGTAGAGGGGAAGGATCACCGCCTGCGACCTGCTGGCAGCACTCCTAATGCAGCCCAGGATACCACTAGCCCTCCTTGCCGCCAGGTCATATTGCTGAGTCTCCTTTGGCCATTAATTATGCAAGGAAAATTGAAAGTGCATTAGGTGTTTTCAGATGAGTCTAACAATCAGGACCAGAATAAAACCATATATTGTATACCTATTTATTTTCTTAACTATAGAAATACTGCAGTACCATTTGTTTATAACAAGAATTCCTGTAATTTTTTTGCTATTATAAGTCCACTTACACTTTTCTAGAGCAATACATGCTGTCCCTTTCTGCAGCTCAGTAGTTCTGGGAACTCCCAAGTTCCAAAACCCGATTTTTGATTCAAAAATTATGGCACAGAAATCCTTACATTATTCATGTTTACCATTAACCCATTTCTAAGATCTCCAAGGAATATTCTTTTTCTTTCCAGCTAGGAAACACGTTAAGATGGTTGTTGCCTTTGCTCCAACCTAGCTGCTGATGCTGAAGAATTGCACATTCAAGGAGAAATTTCTCTACCCCGGTATTACATTAAGATTGCTATGAACCTTTATATAAAAACATGAGATATAGGAGGTGGGAATGTTGATGTTATGGCTGGGCATATCTTTCCAATTTTTTTTTATTTTTTTTTTAATGTACCAATTATGCAACAGGAGGAACTGTTGTCACTTTAAATACTCAGGACAAGTGACAATAAAGTACAAATAACCTTTTATTTCTGTCTTCAAATTCTGACACACTTTCAAATGAACTATTATAGATATTTTTCTCTCATTTAGAGATGAAAATAGAGATTTTTTTTTCAAACAAGGAAAAAAACCCCACATTCTTGAAGACTGATGAAGAACAGCTTTGCTTTCTTCCACCTGTGAGTTAGTCACTCTTGTGATCCACAAACATTAATATAAAAATACATGTTAAAAACATTTTTCAATCAAATTGCAGTGACAAAACATAAAGCAGTACAAGTACCCTCTTGTCATTTCAATCAGCAAGAGAAAAACTCCAGTCAGTGCAGCGGGACCCCTGGAAATTATATATTTATAGATGGTAATTTTCCATTTTTAAAAAAAGTGATCATTTTTGATACTTTTCACATCCCACAGAGGCAGTAGTAGATACTACAAGATGTCATGAAGAAAATGTTTTTGTGTTGTTGGGCTTGTCAGCAAAACTAGTCCTTTAAAACATGGAAATAGTTTGGTTACAACAGGAGCTGAGATCTTATTCTAAAAACCTCATCTGAATGTAACGGAAAAAAAGCAGCATTTGATCATGTTACTTAAAGGATCAAGTACCTGCTAATTCCTGCCCAGAACCAATTACTTTGACTATTGTAATATTAAGTATGGCAATAGAAAAAAAATAATGAAAATAAATAAATAAAAGGATTGCAGAGTCACCTTGCTTACATTAGTATTGCAGCACAGTAAATGTGGATCCATAGAGTAGAATACTTGGCAGCATGGACCTAAATTCATCATTATATTTAGGGAAACCAGGTTTTACTTCAGATTTGCTCTGCTCTGTTCTCAAAGACTGCATGCCTAGTAATAGTCGAGGTGTGCTTCGCTGCTCTCCAAGAGTGCCTGCTTCAGGTTTTTCAATTGAAAAGAAGTCCAGCCGGCACACTCCAAAAGTGCTCCACAAGTGTGAACCGGAAGTGGGAATAATACAGAGATTTGTTTCAGCAATGCACTCTTGATCTGAGCCAAAACACTACTGCAGGGCCAAGAGTCCGAAACAGAA